AAAGTACCTTTTTTAATTTCAGAAAAGGGGTTATACTTGATAATAAAATCTTAAGTTCATATTTAATATACAACATATGTACCATACTACACTTGTTCACATTTAAAATCACTTCATTTGTTATATAATTTTTATGGTTTGTGTCCCGTGTCTATTTTCATAGCTCTATTAGTTTAATGTGTTGAAATATGTGAAATATATTTTGATAGACGGCGGCTATCATAGACGTAATGGTCTAGTGGTGGAAGTCAGTGATACGTCGGATTTCACTGAATTTGACCAGTGTGGTTCCACTATTTACGAGGCTGACGGACCGATTGTTGAAAGGAATTGCCCCCTGACAAAGACTTGGCAATTTGTAAAGATCACTTCACCGCAAACTCTCAACGTATGCGAAGTTGAAATATTTGGTGGTAAGTTGTAATAGGCCTATCTGATGATCGAAAGCAAAACCATTCAAAGCGTATACTTAATAACTTGAATTCATACAAAAAATACTTTTTAAACAAATAAAGTTGGCGTTCTTGCGGCAACACAGCCAGAATTAGTATGCATAATAATGTTGTTTATTACCGTACCTTCATCGTGATTTTGTTGCGATACTTTCCACTTTCTCTGTGTGTTTGGTTGTTTCATTAGGCCTACATAGTGTATCATAAGAAATTTACAAATTGTGTTTAAATGCAGCTCACTTTTATCATTTAAGTCCCGTATTTAACTTCTTTACCGTTTTGAATATCTCTGTTTACTTTCATTGCAATAAATATAAATATTGAATACTTAGTTTTTCAAACCGAGAAAAAAAAAGAGGTCATGTCAAGAATAGCAAATAAAGACTAGGCCTATAATATTCTATTAAGATGACAACATTTAGCCTTAATCACACATTTCTACTTCCAACTACAATCAAAATGCTGGAATTCATTGACTCTTTCTGGCTTTTATTTTAAAAGTAATACAAAACGCATATTTCAAGACACGTGCTACAACCAATGCGTTTGGATGCAAGTTCGGATTCAATGAGCCTACACGAAGATTATGTATTAGATGTGCGATTCGTTGCTTAAGGTATCATCGATGCGATTCGTTTGAATACGACGAAGATTCGAAATGCCAGCTACAATTGAAAGGGGACCAAAGTGAACAGCTCAGAAATACACGATTACGGATTGCCAACCGAATCGTTCATTCTCGTTAACTGATTGGCATCTTTGTCATTGTTGGACTTAAATCCAACTCGACCAGTGGTGGATTCAGGAATTTGAAATAGAAGGGCCCAGGGAGAGAGTTTTACAGATGGAGGGTCTATACCACCTCAGCCCCTCCATGGTTGGGGCTGAAGTAAGAAATTTTCGATTATGGCATCTCTAGATGGCTGGAAATAGCACTCTCTGACTAAGTTTGAATGTAATTTTCTTTTTTTCTTCAATTTTTTACAATTTTTGAAAAAAATAGGGTGGCACGGGCCGGCTGTTATATTGGTTCTTGTTAACATGCATTGAATGTACAATTCGAAGGCTGAATGAGAGTTTGCACCGTATTGATTCTACTACAATTGCTTATTCTACCTTTATAATGGGATTATTCGAATGTTTATTGAGTATGTCATAACCAGTTTTTAACAAATACAAATGTGTTAACGTCATTTTCAAAAAAAAAATATGACAATTTAATTTCTTAATTTCACAGTTGAATTATTATAAACATTCAATATTAATAATGAAGGCTGCATATACCTTGAATTTTCCTTTACAGCTTATAATTTATTACTTCAGTTGTTAATTATTGATTTTCGTCACTGCATGCATGAGCCATTGGCCGGACAAAGATTTATAGTTAACGGTCTAGTTGCTGAACATAACACGTGGCGCCGAGGGCTGCCCTCGCATTTCGACAATAGGGGATAAAAATACAATTTTCTGAGAACGACGCATATTGACAAGGGTTTACTTTAATAATTTTTTTTGGTTCTATGTTGTTAATTAATTTTCCTTTTAAATTGGCATCAAATTGCGGTTGGCATGCTATGACATTTGAGGTAAAAATATAATTTTTTGCATTTGTAGTAGCGAATTGTTTTAACATTTGTGGTTAAACAGATGTTTTACACTTGTGGGCGATTTTTATTTACATTTGTGGTTATCATGTTTTGACATTTGTGGTTATTTTTGCATTTGTGGTTTGACATGTTATGACATTTGCGGTTTGACATTTGTGGATACAATGTTTTGATATTTGTGGTTATTTTTACATTTGTGGGCTCTACACGGCCCATACCACCTCAGGCTCGACCCCATAATGATTGGGCCTGATCGAGGTATGAAATTTTATGGTGATGGCCAGGCTGGATGACCGAAAATGGCCCTCTCAGATTCAAATAGCTCAGATCTTAAATCTAGCTATACACCTCCCTGCCCCTGGTCCGATTTTGCCAAAAGTAACACAACGGCACCAATTCTTAGTTTCATCTTGTTATATTACCGGTACTTGATAGAAAATGTGTTAAACTGCATACATCGATAGGCATTACTGTTTTATTCAGCAGGGATTTTACCTTGGCACCCGGCTAACCAAATATGTTTTTAAATAGAATTAAATGCAATGAACCGTCGACAAAGCAAAAACAAAACAATAAAAAAAAACAAAAAAAAACAAAGCTTTTTTGTAAGTTCATGTATCCGAATACAGTGATATATCTGTCTCTTATACACATCTAGATGTGTATAAGAGACAGGGTTAGGCCTAGGCATATACAAACTATTCAAACATTGATTCTTTGAACGTTAAGCTAAACACAATAAACAATTATATCTAAATTATCTTTCGTTTTTTCTAATTGTCATTAAAAAAATAAACGATTCCAAATACCGATTTAGGTTCTCTTGATGTAATATATGATAAAGCATCTATACCTGAGTTGCGAATGTAACAAAGCCACAGCAATAGACCTTTCCGGAGCGTCAAACTTCGCAACTGACTAATCAGAACAACGCTAGGAATACGCGCGCGTCTTACAAACACACGTGTTGTCCCACAAACGCACGTGTTCGCGTATGTTTTAACACTGCCGTCTTGTGGGGCCTTAGCAACAAAATCCAAGGGGCGGAGCTTAGCGGAAAGGTCCATTATTCATTGGCACAAAAAGTTTGTGCCAATTTACCGTCCATAAGTGTGCACAGCTCTGGAAGAAATATATCGTACCACCATTCTTTTAAATGTTTTACTATTAGGCCTATTGCCATATTTTGAGTTCCTATTTATACCTATTAAGATATCGTAAAAAATAATTTACATTAACACGAGTCTACAAAATATTGGACGAAGACTTGTCACGGTACATATAAGCAACACATGTGAGAATTCATTACTCAAATTACGTTACTACAGTACAGTACAGTGAAAGGAGCAGCAGAGTATAAATTCCACTTTAGTGATCGCGGCTGATACAAACACGTATAATGAAATAAAAATATTATAAACTGACCATGTTAATCACTAAAATACGTCAATACGTGACAGATAAGGAATGTCTACATCCATCACATTTCGGCATGTATTGTATAATCCATTTTTTACTATATTCTTTAATACCAGTATGCCTATCTGATCTGCTTTAACATTATAAACAAAATTATTATTGGTTCATAATATTCTTTATTTAAAAGTTAATTTGATTTTCATTTGCAAAGGTCTTTCTGAAAGTATAGTTAAAGACGTAGCATTATTCAATGTTATGCTTTAGAATATTCGGTTACATGTGGCAATACTTGCAGCATTTGGTCGACTGGGCTTCACAGAATGATTATTTAAATAATACACCTCGACAGATCTATAGTGCGCACCCCCCCCCCCCACCTTAATATGTTGCACTTAAATTTTAGCTGGCAAAACAATGTACAGATGTTAAATAGTCAGCAGCTTGGGTGGGGCCATTTATGAGAATAATTTTCAGGCTAATATTACTATTGGCTTTCCCTTATTTCTGTAACTACTCCTGCAAATCTGGACTCGCCCCAGTACACAGCCTCGCGAAAGGCCGCCTAAGGCGACCTTTTTGCAAGTTAACACTAAACACAGTAACATGTAGTTTGAACCAGATTCTATGTACGCATGTTAACTTCACGAAAGCCAGTGACATGAAACACAATAAATAATCAATTCTACATTATCTTTGGTTTATTAAGTACTAATTTTTTTTTAAAGGAAACCATTTTGTTATTATGAAATATTCTTAACCTTTAACTGCAAATGTAAAAAAAATACAATTAGTAAACAGAATTAAAACCGTGGAACACTTTAAAAAAAATACATTTATTAAATTTCCAATCACAGGTATCCTTCAATTGAAGACCACTTTTAAGTCTTTAGCAGCTTCAGCCTCTAATTAGAATAATAAAGATAAAAGACATTTGTTAATATTATGGAACCACAGAAAAGTGGTCTTTAATTGGAGGGGTCTTAGTAGAGGGAGACCTGTGCACCTGTAACTGGTAATTTATTTTTAGTCCACTGCTGACAAAACATCGAGGGCCTGCGGAAGATAGGATTCGTGTCCACATCACTGAGGGGCAATAGATTTCAACGTTCCCCGAATCAAGAGCAGTCAATATTTTTTTTTATATACCTCATACATAGATTCTAAGAGGCCTTAAAAAGTACTTACCTCCTAGCCTAGCCTAGAGGCCTACAAACTAAGCTACACGAGCGACACAAAGGGCACTCCGAGTGCCGGTCGAGCTTAACACTCGGTTTAGGGCCCCCACACGCCGAGCACAAAGACTTGCGAGCGGACATGTCGATCGAGACTACAATACACAAAGGATATCTTGCAAGTTGAAAATAAATCCACAAAATAAGATAGCTTGAAAAGACTGCAAGTAATTTCAAAGGCTGGGTGTATCCAACTTCGAACAACGTCGAAAAGGGAATGAGGACGTTTGTTAGGGAGACGGTTCGCACGTGGCGCCTTGGGTCGGACTGTTCCATTATTTTCGAAGGGGTGTTCCGTTTTGGGAACAATGGCAATTAGTCGGTTATCCAGGTAAGTATTCACGAAATAGACTAAGCGTAGGGCCTAGGTGATCAAAGAGTGTGTCTAGCTCTTTTTTGCTCATTTCCTCAATTTTAACCCATTGTCTTGCAATATTTGTTGACTACTGACAAGAAATATTTATTTTGTCTTTTGGTGCTTTTGCTATCAGCTTCGACAAGTATAGGCCTAAGCTAGTCCTTCTTCCAAGAGCTCAAACCAACAGCCTCCATAATTATTGTTTTACGTCTACACGCTGATCCGTGGCCGTGGTCAAGGGCCAATCTCTTTCATCGTAGAGGTCCCAGTCCCCTCTACCGTCAGGTCAAGAAAGTACCATTTTTCAGGGAAATAGCACTTTTTCACAGGAGTAGTACTCTCTATTGCCTGCTTCTTAACCAATCAGATGCCTAGAATCTATGTATGCGGTATATAAAATAACAGAAATCACTTCTGTTTTGTTGTTTTGGAAAAATGGACCCTTGATTAGGATTATTATTCTATATCTTTGTTATCTTTGTTAAGTACATTTTGAATAATGTGATCACATGTATATTTAGGCATGTTGCAATAAATTTTAAAAATTAATAAACAAGTTCATTGAAAACTTTCTATAAAAGTTCAAGATTGAGGTACGCACTCTACATTTTATATATAGGTTTGTAAAACTACTTTGTATATAAACACTATTAAAGTTTTATCTTTTACACTTACTAAATGTAATATACTGTAATCTTTAAAGCATAAAAATTAACGTTCAATAGCAAAATAATTAAGTAGAAGTAAAACACATTTAATACAGTAGTATATCATTAGGTAGATCACAATAATGCACAATTATATTACTAGCTTTCTGGGGACAAATCAACATAGAGTAAATCTACAAAGAAAAACTGAGAAATTTTTTTTTTAAGTATCTTAATTTAGGCAAAATTATATAATTATTTCAGGAAAAATTTGGAATATTTTCTGCAAATATCATCTGTAAAAAAAATCATTATAGCAATTCTCTAACCATAGAAAAAACTGAGTGAACTTCAAATGCTGTCATAACCGGATACACCTTTAGAACCTTGACACGTGATCATACTCCAAGTGAATACAACACCATCCTGAAAAAAATAGTCAAGATTTCAATATCAGCATTATCAACACCATGACATTTCCATCACTTTTACTGTAAACTGCAAAAATGGTATTCTATCATCATCCTAAGTAAAACAAGAAATTGTTTGAGATCCTACATTGATATTTTTTTTTTTTTGGTCTATTGCTATTGCATTTTCATTATGAACATCATCATCTTGCCGATTCAAATGGTCAAGCAGTTAAAGCAGTGGTTGCGCACCATGTAGCCATGATTTGAGCGGCACGTTCGTCTATAATTGTTCTGGTGGTGGAAGTGGATAATGACTATAAACCGTAGGCTCAATGCAAATAATTGGCTTTCGTGTGCCCTCAAAAACCCAGTATATCTTTTAAGACAAGTAGGGGGTTACCCAGGTGAACTGGTTTAAACAATCCCTGCGCTGGACAGATAGGAGTTGATAGCACTGAGTTACTGGGTAGCTTAGGCACAAAACGAAACGAAGGGAGAATGAAGTTAATTATAAATCATTTCACGATGTGAAGGATAGAATAAGGGAACACACTTACCGCAATCAGACCAGGCAGAGAATTCCAGAATTCGTAATTTGGTACAAGTTCCTTGCCATGGGCACCACCCAGCTTATTCAATATCATTCCCAAAAGAAAGTACAAAGCAACAGTTGGGAAAAATCTATAGAAAAATGAAATAATTGTGCTAACATTTAGCTTAAGGTAAGTTGGACACACTAAAATTCCTACGCCAGCTCAAGGTTCACAAAGAACTATGTCAATGTCAAAGCTTAGAATGCAATGAGAATGCTAAAATGAGTACTGTATTGTATTTTTGCAGTGATGAAGTGTAATAAATAAAAATAAAAAAAAGTACCAGAAAACAATTTGAAAAAATCATACTGCTTTGCTTCCTATGTACATATTATCTTACTAAATGTAACATGGCCATACCATTTTAAGGTTGCCAACTGTGTCTATTGCCCAATTACCTAGTTGAACCAATAAAGGCTAAAATCTAGGACAACCAGCCTACTTACATAAGTAAAAGGATTGAACCAGTACTCAGACTTTTTACTTTTGGTTCAAATGGCTTTACAGTGGGAGGAATACCACATGCCTCAGCAGACTTGAATTCAAAGGTGTAAATGTCCTGAAACAAATCAACAATCATATGATTAAAAACTGTGACTAGGCTAATACAGTACTGTACTTTGTATTTTATGCTGGTTGGGCCTCCTAGGGCACACACAGGGCACATGGTGGAATTTTTTATGTTTGAAGAGCACATTTTGATGTATTTTTAAATGTTCCTCCCAAAGGGTCCCAACATGACCGATTTGAAGCTCGTCATCCTAGCGGAAAAAAAATGCAGATTATGTAACAGCCATGGCCTTAGTCAGTGAGAGCATAGCTCTCTGCCCTTGTGCTAAGTAAAAGTTATTAGCTTATGTCCAGAACACACAAATCAATAATACATTATATTTGTGATTTGTATTAAAAATTCTCACTATAATCAGAAGTGGCGGATTCAAAAGAGGGGACCCATCCGTCCCGGCCCCACCTCCCCTAAATTGTTCAAAGTTTTTTTTTTAATGGAGATATAAAGAAAATTATATTCAAATTTTAATTCTGAGAGTGCAATTTCCGGCCATCTAGAGGTGCCATAATCACAATTTTTCTTACAGTACCATGGTGGGGCTGAGGTGGTATAGATCCTCCATCAGTGAAAGCACCTCCCCAGGCCCCTCTATTTTGAAATCCTGGATCCACCACTAATCAACAACTGAATGGTTCTGATTCTCACTGAAAGTTGATAGCATATTATATTCTTAAATGAGAAATTAAATATTTTACTTTATACTTTACTTTAGAATAATTACTTTCATATTCATAGACAACAACAAAATTGTTAGAAATGAAGATGGATGATGGTAGATACCAAAAGTCAGTGAGCCAAGTTTACCTCAATAACATATCCAGAATATTTTAATGGATTTGAGGTGTTATACCAGTAACAGTGTTAAATTAATTTTATTCCCATGTGGTTGTTATTGTATATAGCAGTTGTTTCCCTTTAGTTACACCGACTTCTCATACTGTATACTAAAACCTATCTTCTCTCCTTCCTACCACAGACTTTCATTTTTAAATAACAATTTTATGTATTGATCTGTAGTATATAAATATTTTCTTATATCATTTTTCTTGTTTAAACATTTCATTATATATTCCTTGTACTGTACTTAAAATATTTTGTGATTCTGATAGTTTTTTTTTAAATGATTTTAACAGCCTTTATATTTTTAACTATCAGTACTTGCTGTAACTGTTATCAAAGATGTACATTTGCAGCATCAAATATGGCATTTCGGAAAATATTTATGTTTATACAGTATATGGCATACATAGAGCCCAGGCATCTGATTGGTTAAAAAGTGGGTAACTAAAACTAACAACTTCACCCATCACTACTATGACATAGTTTGAATGATAGTTCATAAATTCCTGGTAAAAAAAGTACTATCATGTTAAATGATAATACCTTTTTTCCCTTTGCGATGTAATCTCCAGATCCACTTATAAAGTCGCTGTGTAATTTATGACTTCTACGACAGGAAAGATTGGCCCTTTGATCGCCTAGGCCTAGGAAGTAGGTCTACTTGTTGGTTGCTATTTTCAATACTATTTCAGGCTTCTTAGAATCTATGTATGAGGTATATAAAACAAGTATTAACTGCTCTAGATTTAGGGAATGGTGAAATCTATTGCTGCTCGGTGATTTGGAGACCATAGCCTACTATCTTCAGGAGGGCCAAAACCCTTCAGGAGCAGTCAATATTTGTATGATAGTAAATAGGTCATAAATAAAAAATAATTACCGATAAGGAATTAGGCTGCACAGATATAGAGGTGTTTGCTGAAACTGGAACAGGACTAGAAGTATTACCAATCTCTGGAATCCATCTTGCAGACAAGTCACAATTGAATTTCAGAATTGATTGAGTATAAAAGATGGTAAATTCACGATTCCCTGGATCTTAAAAATAATTATTTATAATAATAAATATAAAGCACTATTTCTGAAAAAATATCGTCTGAGATCAAAAGTGGTTTGCTGGCAAAATGTAATCCTTTATAATAATACAGTAATAATAATAACTGTCAATGGATACAGTAAGTCTGTATCATTGTAGATTATACTTACTTATTGGATTCGTTGTGTTATTATATTCTCCTATAATAGTAATATTATTTTCTGTTGAATTAACAGCTACACTACAATCTTGGCAGTCAAACGGAAGAACTTTACAAATGGAGAAAATGAACTGACAGGATCCAGAATTTGATGGACACACATTTTTATCAGTTGAATTATAATACCAATACCATGCACTGTAAAGAAATTTATAGAACTGTCATTTGTTTAGTGATTTGATGTAGATAGAAATCTAGCCCAGGTATTTAATGTTTGATGTGACAGTACATTAAGTATTTTTTTTTTTTTTGGAAGGGGGGGGGGCAGTATGGGTAAGGCGGCACTGGAGTAAGGCAGATGTACTCAGCTGGACAGGGGCCACTGGTGTGATCCAAAGATCCATTTTGGTTTCCTACATTAAATAGGCCTACTGTACTTATAAATTTTCATTTAGATTATTACCATGGAGGCTCAACCATATTGATACATAAGCAAACAGACAGCTTGATTTAGAACAGAAGTGGCTACTGTTATATAGTTGAAAGTGAGATAATTTTTTTTTTTTTTTTTTTTTTTGAGTCTCACTTACAGCTACATACAGTACCGCCACACACCACCACTTAGTATCCCAAATGATAATTTACCTAATAAATGAAAACTTTTTAACCTTCTGAATATCTTATAATACTTGATGAAGTGAATTAAAACAACAAAGTTGAGATTTTCTTTGCTTTCTTTAATGGCTGTCATTCAAAATTTCATTATAGAGCCTGTGTGCCATTGTTTCCCCTAAACCTGGCTATTTAGAAATATGGCCAAGGAAACACAACATAAAAAAACTTTAAGCTTTAATTTACAATTTACTTTATATAGGTATAAGTAATGATCTATTTTGGGAATGATGTAACATACAAAAAGTGGAGTCACTGGAAATCTTCACAGAAACTTAAAGCCCCATTCCCAGCAAAATTTCAGTTTTAACCCTTTCACTGCGTGTACCCGGTAATACCGGGTATAAACACATATTGTTGAATTGCGCGTACCCGGTACTACCGGGTATGTAGAAAAAATAATGTTAAAAATCAGGAAGAGGTTCTGCACCCTCTATAGTTTTTTTCTATGAACTATAATTAACCTTTTATCGGAAAAAAGTGTTTTTGAGTGGTTAGGCGCAAAATGGCGGGTGCACGGCCTCAAAACAAACGGTACAATGTCGACGAAGCTATGGACCAGATCTTTGCAGATACGGATAGTGAAGATAACTTTGAATTGGATGATTCTTGCATTTCTTTTCCCCCAGTCGACTATGATAGTGACGACAGTGATTCTAAGGACGAAAACAATGATTCTCTTAACTTGGGAGGCCCTGACAGGGACAAGGTGGCAATGCCTTGTCCGCAGATTTCCTTTCCACATTTCACACAATAGAACAGGCTAATTTTCATAGTTCTAAAATAAAGTAACCGTATGATGTTTGCAACGATGCATTTATATTTACAACCTGGATTATATAAAGCATAAATAAAAACGTATGGCAAAAAGTACATCTAACAGTGAT